TATGTTTATATATGTGTATATATATATTTATACTCTTATATAAATATACTTATATATGTATAATATATGTGTATATATATTTATACTCTTATATAAATATATATATATATATATATATATATATATATATATATATATATATATATATATATATATATATATATAATTTATATTTTTTATATATATGTTTATGTATAATACAATTTGTTTATGTAATTTCTATAAGTACTTACAATTTGTTTATGTATAATATATGAATGACATGAATATTTTGGGCTATTTAGTCTAGTGGTAAACTTTAGGAGTTTGGAGAGGAGGTTAGTGGTTCAAATTCTAGCTACAACATATATATTTAAAAGTCTTTGATAGGGCCTTGGAGCTCTTTGAATTCTATAATTATTTTTAATTTTGTTTATTTCTATAAATTCAACAGCCCCTTTGATATCTACAATTATTTTTAATTTTGTTTATTTCTATAATTCTATAATTATTTTATATTATTTTAATTTTTATATTTTTTTTATATTTGTAAATTACATAATTATAAATGATTAATAATATAATTTTTTAATCAAAATTATGTCTATTTTTGCCATTTTTCTTTAAAACTTAAAAAAAATAAAATAATAAAAAATTTTAAAACCGGGCTAGCCCGGTGTTCGGCCCGCTTAGACCCGGGCCCGGGTCCAGGCTCCGGTTTTGCCCGACCCAGGCCCGGTTTTCCAGGCCGGCCTGGCCCGGATGGACACCCCTAATTATACATATGCTAACAATTGTTGATTTGAGCAATATAGTATGTTATTTGGACTAGTATATTCAATTTTGATTATTGGTTGTTTATTGAGATTTTGGCTTGTTGTTTTGTAAGCTGGATGTACATATTTGATTAGATTTACAGGTTTATGCAATAGGAAATTAAAAAACTGCATATATTCAGAATAGAGCATCCCAGACGGATTTACAACATCCCAGACAAAATTTTTGTCTGGGATGTTAATCTGTTTGGATACTACACATCCCAGGCGAAAATTTTCCGTCTGGAATAAGTCCCAGACGAAAAATTTCCATCTGTGATGTATCCCAGATGGAACTCCGTCTGAGATACGTCCCAGACGGATTTCCGTCTAGGATACATCCTAGACGGATTTTTCGTCTAGGATATCGTATCCTAGACAGAAACAAATTAGACGAGTATCGCAAACGGAATTCCGTCTGGGATAAGTTTTCTAGACAGAAATAACACTATCCTAGACGGAATTTTCCGTCTAGGATGCGCCATTATGTACCAGTGATTTTCACGTCCATGTCAGGTATTATTGGTATTTAGATTTAGGAGATATTATGAGATATTGTTGAGATATTATAAGATGTATTGGATGTGATTTTATCTCATACCTATTTTGTAATATCCACCTAATCTCCATTTAAGAGAGGTTATGATTAAATGAATAATAACTTTGCCTTCTTTATTTCTCTACATTGTATCAGAGCTTACTCGATCCCGACAACTTTTCCCATCTTTCTAAATCTCAAGGCCGTAGAGAGGGTTTTGCATGGCCTTCATGCTCCCCTTGACGGCTACGCCAACATCTTCTGCGGCTTCAACAACATCTTTGATTTCTATATCATTTGTTTACTAAATTTTTATTGAACCTCAATAAAAAAACCCTACCCTTAAAAAATCCTAACCTCACAAAAAAAAGACAATATTCATCACGGGGGTATCGTTCATCGTGAGCAGTGTCGCTCTTCGTCATCACCCAATGGTTGGATGCAAAAGTACATAGCTAATTCCGACATTGCTTCTACTGGCTGCCTCACCTAAGATTTCTTTCTACTAGCTACCCGTCTAGCTTTTCTTTTTACTTGACAACCCGCATAGGATTTCTCACTACTGGCTAGCCGGCCTAGGGTTTCTACTGGTTGTTACTATAATTTTCTGATTGCTGACATATTTAAGTATTTCGGACAAAGATGACGTTGTCAAAGCTCATGCAACCAACAATTTTATTTTGATTTGTCACAAGCTGGATATATATAGTAATATATGCTCTAACTTGAGAGGGAATGTTGGATATTATTGATATTTAGATTTAGGGGATATTATGAGATATTGTTGAGATATAATGACATCTATTGGATATAATTTTATCTCATATCTATTTTATAATATCCTCCTAATTTCTATTTAAGAGATGTTAGGATTAGATGAATAATAAATTTCTCTTCTTTATTTCTATACAGTCCGCATATGTGCTTCTTAGCTTGATTGTAAAGGAGGAAAAGCTAATAAAATTACTATCAAGGTTACCAGGAATACGGATTTCTTTGATATGCAGAAAGTAAACAAGCGCATAAAATGTTACTACCCATGAAACATGGTATGTTGGGGTTACTTCATTGGACACTTAGTTGGAAAGTTACACATTTATCTAGAGTGCCAAATAACTTTTATAAAATAGTGAAGTAGTACACTGATGTAGACGTGTTGCATATATAAGCATACGTCTATCAGTTTAATTATAAAATCTAACCAAGGTGCACTTCTCTTCGTTAAGGAAGTTTTATTTCCACTTTCACCTTCACAATAAAATAAAATTTATAATATATGTATTTAATATATCTTTTGCATCTTCCAAATAAATTATGATGTACTTTGACAAATTAGTGAAGTAATACACTGATGTAGACGTGTTGCATACATAAGCACACATCTATTAGTTTAATTATAAAATCTAACCAAGGTGCACTTCTCTTCGTTAAGGAAGTTTTATTTCCACTTTCACCTTCCCAATAAAATGCAATTTATAACATATGTATTTAATATATCTTTTGCATCTTCCAAATAAATTATGATGTACTTTGCATCTCTACTTTCTTGTCTTGAAAAAAGAACTTTTCTTGCGTCCTTTTCCGCTGCTTTACTAAAAACGAGGAAATTAAAGGGTCATCCTTGCTTCAGATGCATTGTTGCCAAGGAAGTTAAAAGCTGTCAAAGATTAGAAAGTAGATATCATCATTCCAAGTCACTACTTTTCCATAATTTGGAATGTGCATTTCAGATCACGGATCATTGGGGGTCTAATATTTTCCTAGTAATAGATATTACGATACTGAATAAAAGGAATGCAGACTCAAATCTGGCATTCAGGTTGAGAGATATATGGGGAAAGAGCAGTTGATTACCTGTTTGCAAAGGTCTTCAAGAAACTCTGAATATGCAACAGGCTTTACTTCATTAAATTTTGCAAGGAAGGAATGCTTGATTGTATCGATAAACACTTCACACAAGTAAACCAGCAGGGCATTCTGAGAGGTCAAAACAAATAACAGAAAACAGTCTATGTGCTTTAGAAAAAAAATAAATAAATTAGGAATCTAGCTAATAAATAGTTGGATAATTTACCATCATAAAACTTTCAAACCATGGTCCCTCTGCCTCCAAGATATTTTGAGCAAGCACAAAAAGTACAAATGCTGTAATATGGAACCTCTCCACTATGTCTGAGAATAAACATCAAGAAAGTATGGGGAAATAAATGAGTCGAGAACCAGACAGCTATTATCACTAAGCTTCTAAGGGAAATAATGACATAACTGCCGCATCCACCACATTCGCGGGAAATATTACACCATTTATTCTCCTATGTCACATCAAATTTGTGGCATGCCATTTAAAATATTGATTCCATCTGGGACAAATACAAGTACCAGACCATCATCAAAAGGGCATTATAAATATAGAGTCTTGATTCTATATCTTAATTCATGATCACAAGATTCTTCTGCTCCGAAGGAGAACTTGCAATAATCTTATTTCCAATAACTCCCAGCACATACTAGAGTTCTTGCTTGATCACAAGATTCTTCTGCTCCGAAGGAGAACTTGCAATCATCTTATTTCCAATAACTTGTAATAACTCCAATAAATATATCTTTACTCACACAGAATTTCTCCGTATCAAAAAACATTGTTGGTATAATACTAGAGTTGTTGCTTGGTTTCTTTCACCTTTTACACTTCTAAGTGTTGGCCTCTTTGTTTTGATGATGTTTAACAAACAATTTACATCTAACATTGCTTGTCTAGTGTTTGTGTTTTGTATTCATTATAGACAAATAATATGTTGGAGGATGGATGGAATTGCGCCACAACGATCATATCCAATGGAGGTTGCGGAAATAGTGGAGTGAAGCAATGCAATTCAAGTTGAAGATCCAAGTTCAAGCTTCATCTGCAAGATTACCAAGTTAAGCTCATTGAAGACCTTCATCAAGCTTGGGTAATTTAGTTTAGGTTTTATATTATGTGTGTTAAGTACTCTAAGCTCAATATAATATACACACACATTTTATTGGTTTCTTTGTATATATATATAGTTATATATATATAATAAGTTTTGGTTTCTATGTATTTATAGTTATATATATACATACATGTTTTTGGGTTTTCATGTTCATAAATATGAAATTACATATTTCATATTTAATATTGTCTTTTGGTTTAACTCCATAGATATGAAACAAATATATACTCGTATACATACTCATATGTTTCATATTCTATTGTACTTGAGAAAATATTGTATTCATTGTTTATAGACTTCATAACAATAGTTTATATCATTAAGTCTATATAATCATTTTGTAATGTTTCAAAACATGGTTAAGCTAAAATGTCAAAATTCATGTGTTTACATTTTCATGTTTTAGATTATTTTATAAAATGATGATATTTTTCACTTGGGAGGTCCTTTTTGAAAACCAACTTTTGTAGCATGTTTATTATCATGTTTACAATCATTTCCCAAAGTTTTACATTTTTCTGATTTTATTTGCTATTTTTAAAAGAGGTTTAAAAATCAGATTTTTGTTTAAAACAGACCGTGTGCATGTCTTGAGTCCACTCATGAACCGTGTTGAGTCAACTCATAAACTATTGAGAAGTTTACATTTTGTTTCTGACGAGTCGACTCATAACATCATGAGTCGACCCAGACATGTTGAGTCGACTCATGTCTGTCATAGGTCGACTCATAAACTGTGCTAAAAAGTATTTTGTTTCTGCTAAGTCGACCCATGACTTCATGAGTCAACTCATGCATGATGAGTCGACTCATGATTTTTATGAGTCGACCCATAAGTTGGTTTTTAGCCTGTAACGGCTACTTATGAGTCGACTCATGAACAGTACCGAGTCGACTCATAACACTATAATGGCTATATTTTCAGACAATTGTTTTTGGGTTTTTGGTCTTTTTATCTTGTTTTCTCTTGTCTTTGGGGTTCCTATAAATACCCCCATATATCCTCAGTTCTAAATGATCCAAGAGAATATTTTAAAAGAGTTTAACAAGGGTTTAAGCTTGTTTTGAGTTTGTCTAAACGAGTGTTTAAGAGTTTGTTTGCGAAGAGAATTTCACAAGAGTTTGAGGAGATCATCAATCTTGTTTGAGCTTCAATCTACATCCCTCCACTCTTGATCTATTGAGAAGTTTTCTAAACTCTATTTTTAACTCTTTTATATATTTGATTATCATTATTATTAAGCTAGAACTATATTGAGTTTAGTTTTGATTTATATCTCTTTGTTCACACATAACCTATTGAGCTTATTGTATTTACATTCATAGTATAATTTGGGATTGTGGGTTTGTGACTAAGAGTTGTGCTTAATTGAGTCCCTGCCTTATTTAGAAAACATTAAGTTGTTGTAAGCTTAATTTGTGAGGATTCACTTTGTAATACACCTGTATATCGAGAGGAGTGTGTAGTGAAAGACGGGGTCGCTTCCAAGAAGAGTGGCATCGGTTGACGAACCTAGGGAGAGGTTGTATCCAAGCACTTAAGGAAGGACACGGGCTAGAGACCAACACTTAGAGGGTGTGGAATGTAGTTACATTATGAGATTGTGATTGTTGATCGGTGAGCGTTGAAAACCGATATTGTGAGGTGTAAACATTATTCGGGTGAGCGTAGAAAACCCGATGTGATAGTGGAGTTTTCGGGAGTGGGGAGCGGAGACGTAGGACGGAAGGTCCGAACTCCGTGACATCTTTGTGTGTTTGTGATTGCCTTGGCGTCTCACTTGTGCTTATTATTTATTTCATTCTTGTCGCCATTATGGCATTATCTATCGCTCATAGTGACCATTATCTTGTTTATCTTGTTTGTGTTTATTTCACCCTTGTGTTAGTTTATATATCCTTGCATATATTTCACCATATACCTCTTTGCTAGGATATTTCTCTTTGTTCATATTGCATATTCTTGCTCATATCATATTGTATATCTATCTTGCAAGAATAATTTATTAATAAGTTTTAATTGACATAAAATCGGATTAGATTAGCATAAGACCCTAATCACCCCCCTCTAGGGTCTAACACTAAGGAGTGCAATCAAGTCTTCAGGTGTACTTTTTAGCCTAAAGAATCTGGTGTCATCAGCCATTGAAACTATTCATTGTCACTACACTACAGGTAAAGCTCGAACTGGAAATGTTGAATTAAAATTTTGTTCTCTTTCCCCTTACCCACTGCAACTCTTCGATCATTTTTCTTCTTTCCTTATTTTGTCCCCTCTGATTTTCCCTTCAGTGCCCACTACACTTTGCTGCTTCAGTAAATTCATTTTCTCTCTCCTCCCTTTTTCTCCTCTGATTGTAATCATACATGTTCTTCCTCTCGTATTTTGATCCTCCTTTTTCTCTTATATTTCCTCTGTTATGAGTAAACAATTATTAGACGTTATTGTATTATTCAATTGCTTGTTCTTTAGAAGTATATTCTGAACTGCGGTCCCCAATGTGAAATATGCTTAAATATCAAATGGCCCTTGGCATGAGTGTGCTCAGTTATTAAGTAACAAAGAGACCTAATAAATTATTACAGGTATTAGTAGTGGATCTACTTTGGAATAGCAATAACTTGGCATTATCCGTCGCATAAAATATGCAGGTAGCTTGTTTGGAGTGCTATTTCAAGACTGCAGACATCACATAGATTTATCACAAGCAGTTCATGCCGAGCAAAATAATATAAAACATGTTCATTTAATGCATCATAACAGGATTATGCAGATAAGAAAATCGACTTACCATAGTATGCCAAATTCTGAAGGTTTTCTTTGCTGAAGCGTTTAAATACATTACTTTTGATCTCAGCAAAATTGCTTGACACCAGTAACGCCATTAAAGCATTATTGTGGGCAATAATGCATGTCGATAAAGTTATAGCCTGAGCTAATAAAACGAAAGAATGCACGAGTATAACTAGTTAAGGAAATTCAACTTAGATGAAGTTCATCTGGAGATGTAAGAAAAAGGCATGCATCTGAAAGGATATTAAAAGCAATAACAGCTATCATGCCATCAAAAATGAATCTCAGTAGTTCAAATGTTAGATCATCTTCTGAACAATTTGCAAGGCCCTCTGCAGAGTTAAAGAGAACTTGCAAAACATCTTCCCCAAAAGACTGACAGAGTTTATCAAATATCTGTCAGGATTATAGAGGAAAATTACGAATGTCAGCATGCAACACATTGTAGTTTAACAGAGTTCCATACATCATTTTCTCACCTCTAGCACATTATATACCACATAAAGCTTGATTGTACCTTGTCCACGTATGATATGATATATTAGGCTGATATCTGATGCAGGAAAAAAAAAGGATTACAAAAATATGGTATCAAATGTAACAATTAGAACCCATGTAATTGCTGATATTTTCAGCAACTGGAGGTAAAATGTATAGAAAAAAAATGCCAAATAGAATCTTAGATAAAGCAAACAAGCATCCACCTGTCAACTGTAGAGTTATAACTCCACACGCCAACACAATAAAACAACCAAAATCAGATAACTCAGCAGCATTTGGCCTCTGGAACTGCCTGGCAAAATATTTTGATCAGCTGTACAACAAAACTAATTATCGAACAATCACAAGACATGGATAAAAGAGTCACTCAACGAAAGAGCTTTGCAGCGCATATAACCAGTAGGCTATATTTTTCCACAACCGCAATTGACTTATCATAGATAAAAGTAAGCTAAAAACATAAGTGACGCACGGTAGAACAACATGCGAATAGAAGAAAGCGAAAAGTAGACAGAGCAATATAGGCAGTTGACTATATGTTTCCATATTCACAATTCACTTGTAGATTTAAATCACAGATTGTAAGCTGTTGTGAATTTAGTTGTTTCATGGACTTCCAACTTCATGTGTACAAAAGAATGAACTCTATTTAGGAGATGATTTGCTGGGATTTTCGCTGAGTTGGAAGCACATCCATCAAAATGTCAAATGTCTGGCCTCTATCCCTCGACCAGCATTTTGTCCTCGGGTTTCTATCATAAAGCAAATGTATGAATAATATACAGCGCGTCAAAGGCATTCACACAATCGCCACGAGTAGCCAATAAGAAAACATGTGCACCACAGTGACTGCTGATAAGCACCAACTTCATTACCATGCCATTTAAGAGTGAATGCTGCGAGAAACCACGGGCTTTCGAGTCTTGAAAGAGCTTAAACATCCCTGAATTTTAGCCTCTCATATGAAGACCATAATTTTCCCCTTCCCACACATTTGTATGCTCTTCAATAATTATAAATAATTTCAAAGAGGATACATGTTATGATCCCGACGTATTTGTAGATCAAGTCATCTCCAAGTCCAATATTATATGATCACTAGGAGGGAAGTTAATGACCTTATTTTTATGTATGAAATCAAACCCATATGAAAGATCAAATCACCAACTCCCTTAATCAATGAATGAATGACTTTGTACATAAAACTTTTGGCATCATGTCAGAGGTTCTGCAGAAAATTGCATTCATTTTTAGGCAAAATGTATCTATCACTCGAATCACATGCCACCAAAATTGCTTTCGTGGAACTTGTTTATTCTATTAATTGTTATCACATTACAATCTGCCGAAATACCTTGTCTGCTCTAGGACAAAATGGAAGGAACATACATATAAGCAATTTTGAATAAATCACCTAAAATATCATCCATTTTTTTCACAAGTAGACAGTCCATGGATTGAATGAAAGAGATGGACTCGGCTGCATTCCTCAAGAAATTGAAAAGCGATGAGAAATTTTAAGCTGGAGGTGGCCAGATGTAATCAGTTGAACAGGCTTCCCTCTCTCGTTAAACACATCAAACTAATCCATTAACAATGGTAGTAAAAAAAAATTCTACATTCATTAAAATCTAAATATTTCTATAACTGAGTCTCGGAGAAATCCACAAACTATGATTGTGCCATTAGACTTGACCTTGGAAACCACTACATCACTAATGAATGTTAGCCCAAGAGTCAAGGCCGCCCAGCTTCTTAACTTATGAAGCGTAGACACTTTTAGATTGAACCAGTGTTGTATCTGACAACATATCCGATATCATATTGTTGCCGTTATTCTTTTAGTACTTTTTTATTTAATTTGTTAGGTGTTTTGTCGTGCACATGTCAGCATTCCTATGTCCTAGTTCCTTAGCTCTTAAAAAAGTATTTTCAAGTAAAATGTCAAAGAACATAATCCAATCTAATGGAATTACTGAGCACATCTGAAGATATCAGTATGAGCAATTTCTAGATTTTCTTCATCTCCTCTTATGTCCTTGTTGTCATGAACGTTTGATGCAACTTGTTGTAATAATGATGGCTAGTGACAATGCTATTGTGATGATAAGCAGTCGAAAGTATAGAAGCTAAAGCTAGAGAAGTTTCTGATGGGAAAGGCAAAATGCCTGTATGGATCTAAAAGCACTAGAAAAGCAAGTCTAAGATCTCCAGATTTTCGAAGAAGTACCTTTTTCAAGAGCCTGGAAATTCAGAATCCTTTACCTATGAGAGATTGAGGATTAAGCCTAGCTTGTAAGAAAACTACACATATAATGAGTTTCACAGGAAAATCTAATTGTAGGTAGAGAAAGGGTCACATAAGCATATGATTAAAAGTTAAAACTGTGCTCAAAATGTTCAGAGTTAGCGATGTGAAAAATTAACTTCACTATTATTTGCAATGCCTGAGGAAGACCAAAATAACACAAGTATGTCATAATTTGGCTTCAGGATCAAAATTAGGATTGCAAATGAGTGAGATATTAATATTTTGCTGTTAGCTGGGGGAAAAAAAACTTTACAACATAGAATATATTGACAACAGGTTTTTACTTGTGTGTTCTATGACAAGGAAAGAAAGTAGAAAATAACCACATTTACCAGTGAAATTAATAGAAGTGCCACTGTAGCTATACACCTAAATTCAATGACGTGGTAACAAAATCAACTGGATTGACACACCTATATTTGACCCTCCAAAAGGATGTTTTTTTTTTTTTTTTTGATAGAGAGAGAGAGAATCAAAAGGATGCGTTGAAAGTTAATTCATGGGCACAAATTGCTCTACAGAGAGCAGGTACGTAAAATGACGGAACCTAAAATAAATGCTAAATAAAACAGTAAATTGTCAAAGAATAATTAATTGATAGACCTTGTCTTCAACACCCTCCAGATAGTCATGAGAATTCTAGCTGGCATAATGGTCAGCAATGACAAAAATGAATCCAAACAGAAAAAGAATCCTGCGATAATAAGCTGCAGTATCACAAATTAATATTAGAGAATTCGTCCTGCTAAAATGAATATAATAACTTGCAACATAATTATCATCTATCTGAAAGATAATTGCATGATAATGTCAAATGCTACCATCCAAATAACTTTGCATATTAAAGAAAAACAAGAGATCTGTTTCTGTTTCTTTCTTCAAATGGTACTAGAGAAGAATGCACCATATAGTAGATCGAGCTATCTACTAGAGTGAATTACTCCTTTTTAACTGTCATTACAGCTTATTTTAATGGTAATGGTGCGACAGTGAACCATTTATTATGTCATAAATGAGGATGTACTTTATGTTTTATAGATATCACTCCAGGAGGTGTATTCTCAATAAATAACGAAATAAAACTGTTACCATAACCAATAAAGCCTTTAAACTTATCAAGTAAGTTTAGATACTGCACAAAATGGGCACTTATAAGATAAAGTTGTATCCATGTTGCAAACACCCTTATCGGACACCAAGACTTCCTTAGACATTCCTCACTATACATTTTAGCCCCTTCTCATACATATGCTCAATTGTAATAAATATTCATTTAGGACACCTTATGATAGTTAGTGAACACGTGTTGCACACTTCTTGTACATTCTTTCCTTCAAATTTCATGTTTGAGATATTAAAATTAGCTTTAGGTAATCAAAGATTATTTAATGGCAAAGGGCATCAGAATATCGCCTTGTATAAAACCATGATAAGTTCAAAATGAATAACTACTCTATTTAAAGTTAAGAAGTTAAGGCCTACTCCTTTGCAAAGTCATATAATACGCTAACATTCTGGATATATGAAATCATCATATGTTTTATATTATTTGAAATAAGTGTCTCTGTAGTTTTGGATTCATGGACTTTGTCTAGTTACGCATGTTATATGGTCTCTCTCTCTTTTTATTGTCGTATACATTCCAGTGTCATATTATCATGTTCCTATGTCAGTTTCGGTGTTATACCCATGTCTCATGTCCTTATCCATGCTTCTTAATTTAAATGCTTTTGCAGTATATTAAGGATAAAGAAAATATTAGTGAAGTGCAAAAGTACCCTTTCACATCTCAGCGGCACGTGAAACATAGTGTTATAAACCCTCTGTCGTTTCTTCTCATTTCCTACGGAAACTGTGCTTCTAAGGGAATTGCCACCATATATCTCTCCCATAAAGTATTTCAAGGGTGATCTTTCTGCAGATGAGACCTCTGCATAAAAACCGATAAATACAAAATTTGTACAGTGATAACTATGGACAGAAGCATGAAAACAGGAAAGTTCGGAAAGAAAAGATTGCCGAAAACAAACTTATACCAGTAACTTAAGATCATACTTTTTTGCAGAATGGGCTGTTGCTCGGTGCAAGCGGGATGTGTATCCTAGATCTTTCGCCCATAAAAATGAGGTTTTACCATATGATAGTTTGGTAATGAGGAGGAAGTTAAGGTCGTGAACATAACAATACAGTTATGCACATAGGGTGACTAATATGTTTAATCTGATTGGCCATACACAAGGACTACTATTCCCATCTTACATACAAAACCAGATTAGTTTGAGCAGTAGAAGTTTGCAATACTAAAAGAAATCAAAGGCCCGTCAAACTATCATGTAGAGTTTCAACAGTTACATATGAAATCTAGGACCCTTTAAGTTGGCCGAGAGTTTGAATTCATTCCAACCACAGGCATTTGGTGCACATTTATTTAAATAGTAGGCACAAAAGCAATTAATTTGAAAATCATGTGATGCACAGTCCTTGGAGTTCATAACTCAATTTTGGATAGATCACGAGTAATGGTGTTCATAATTGATGGTTCTAGTTCACCTTTAACTTTGCTAACCATATAGTTTGCATCACAATAACTACATGTTACATAGTTGGCAAATAAAAAGTTGCAGTGTAAGGAGATCAGAATGAAAAAGGTTTCACCCATTTTTATGATGAGTGTGACTGGCTGAGCAATCATAATAGAAGAGAAAAGAATGTTCTTATGGGCTTCTTGAAGGAAAAGAAGAGGAAGAAACTATATATACATGTTTGCGTGTATGGAACTAAAATGTATCAACTGTCTTAGAAAATATTCCTCCTATGTGAAACAGAAAGCTCCACTTTACCATTCAACTACATGATCAGCAACATTCATCTTGACTCTAAAAATCTAAAGCGTACATACACCAAAATTTTGTGATTTGTAAATTAAGTGATTGCTATAAAATAAATAGTTTCGCCATGATAAAACATTTCCCATCTCAAAATCTAGGGCAGATAAATGCATAACTTATCATAATCTTGCCATCTTCATTCTTCAGCGACAACCAAAAGGACCAATACTTGGTGCGATTTAATTAACCATGGACTTTAATTTAAAGGAACATTTGCATAACTATGGGGAGTCTAGCGCCAAACCCTACACCTGTACTCTCAAAACTTCAACAACACCTCAAAAATACTTGTAAAACAACAAAACGTGCACCAAAAATTTTAGGGAACAATTGCGCAATCAATTAGATTAAAATGCAGCAAACCTCTTAAAAGATTCGGACCCTGAGCTATGACTTTGTTCCAATCCAAGCTCTCCATCGTCTCCAGTCTTGCGACGCCCCCATTCATCTCCTCCGGCCTCCACTGCCCTGCAGTCGACGAAGTCGAGCTCTCCCGAATTCCGCTACCCTGCTCCGCAGGCACATCACAACTCCCTCCGCTACTCACATTCCTCTGCCTCAACTCCGCAGACGACACGCAACTGCTGGCCTGCGATCCATCGAACACTAAATTCTCATAAGCAACAGATTCAACTAACGATCTCCTCTCGATGACGGAAGCAAACCCTAGCCCGTTGTCGTCCTTGTGGCCATTCGTTTCCTGCCTCTTCTTCTTCTTCTTCTTACGGCGGGGGCGACGCCGTGGCCGTTAAAGTGACGCCGTTGACGAGGCTCTTCCGAGGATGGAGAGATCGGAGAAATTCGCGGGGGGTGAGAAGGATAAAGGCTGCAGTGTTTCGCGGAGGTGCTCGGTGTGCGGAGAGGTCGAAGGAGACCTTGCCGCCTCCGCGCGGCAGCGACTTGGCAGTCATCGGATCGAGGTAGGATGAGATCGATCGATGGATTAGGGCCTGGACGCGATCGAGGTAAGGGGAAGATCGAGAAATCAACGGAGACGTAACGTCAGCTGCCGGCGAGTTTACCCACTTTCCGTTTTCTTTTAAAAAATGAAATGGGTTTAGAAAATAAAACTTTGTTTATTCTCTCAAGTACACGTATGCATATACTGTATGGACTGTATTACGGAATGTTATTGATGAGGGTTTATAAATGGTTTTTTTTAAAAGACTTTTTTTTTGTTAAATAATTAGCAAAATCGATCGTTTTGCTAATTATTTAGCAAACCCGACCTAAAGATGTTTTTGATCGACGGGCCAAAAAAATGTCGGTTTTGCTAAATATGCTCTTTTTTGAAACATACGGGACTACTAGTCCCGTATGTTTAGTGGACACTAATTTAAGCCACAAAACCCAAGGGTTTAGTTGACATGGAGGAGTATCGACTCGACTGGGTCGACTAGGCTCTTGACGAGTTGCCTTCTACGAGAGGGCCGACTGGTACCACCTTTCGTGTCGACATTGATAAATGTCGACTCGTCTAGTCGGCTAAGTCGGACTGCTAGTCGATCTCTGGCTATCTCTCTCGTCGGTCGAGATGTCGACTCATCTGGGAGGTCAGGATGTCTCGTGCCGATTTATCACGCCCCGCTTCCCAAAATACTAGGGAATCAGAACGTGAACAAGCCCGCGACGTATTAGATTAAGGAGAAATGAGTACTAGACCCCTTCTACTCAATCTAATACGATAAGTGTCAAGCAAATATAAAGCGAAGGCACAGATCCCCGATCACAGTAGCGAGAATATAATAAACAACTCAGAACCAAAAGATACATATCATAACTGAAATGATCATCCAGATATAATATTCGGGTCAAGCATGCCCTTATACAAAACTATCTGAATACTGGGGAATATAAAAATAGTACATCGACCAACAGAAATAAAAGTACTGGAGGGTAAACTAGGATCATCAGCTAACTAAAGAGGTGACTAAGCTTCGACTTGTTCTTCTGCTCCATCTGCAAAGCCTTCCTGTGGAGGATCCTCTGGCTCCTGTACTACTCCGAACTGTAGCCGTCCGTCATCTAAATCTGACGTACACCAGAGGAAACACGTGTACGTCAGCGTGTATGGCACACGGCAAGATCCCAAAAGGAAGAATAGAACGGTCGTGCGACCAATGCAATAATGGTAATAACAATGGAAAGATGAAACTGAAATACTAATAATCTAAAATGATTTACTACTATAAATTAGAATAATCATAATAAATCCAAGGAAATCAACCAAAAGTAACAAGTCGATCATGCAGCTAACGATTGCTGGCCTTCTTGTTTTGATGATGTTTAACAAACAATTTACCACTAATGTTGTTTGTCTAGTGTCTGTGCATTCCTATGTATTGTAGACAAACAACGTTGTTGGAGGATGGATGGAATAGAGCTTCAATGATCATATCCAAAGGAGGTTGGCGGAATGTCGGTGAAGCCTTGCAATTCAAGTTAAAGATCAAGTTCAAGCTTCATCCGCAAAGTGTACCAAGTCAAGCTTATTGAAGATCAAGATCATTGCTTGGGTAATTTAGTTTAGGAATTTATATTATGTGTGTTAGTACTTTAAGCTCAATCATATACACACATACACGTTTTGGTTTTTGTATATATATAGTTATATATATACATATATGTTTTGGTTTGATAGTTTTCAAGTTTTACTATAAAACAATTAAATATAATTAGAAAACATATTTTTGTTTCATACTCATATGCATATATATGATTTCATCAATATCAATTTTAGGTAGTTAAATGAAATCATGTTTTAGTGCATTATATGTGTATTTTGATAAAATACTACATTCATTGTTTATAGACTTCATAACAATAGTTTACATCTTTCTTCAAGTCTATAAAATCATTTTGTAAAGTTTCAAAAGTTGGTTTAGCCAAAATGTCAAAATTCACATGTTTACATTTTCGTGTTTTGGACTATTTTGCAAAATGATGATATTTTTCATTTGGGAAGTCCTTTTTCGAAACCAGTCATTGTAGCATGTTTATTATCATGTCTACAATCATTCCCCAAAGTTTTACATTTTTTAGAATTTATTTGATATTTTTAAACAGCATTTTAAAACCAGCAAAACAGGTTTCAGTTTCTGTCATATCTGTTTTCGGTCGACCGTACCGGTCGACCGAACCTGAGTTCATATTCTCACTGGGCGACAGAGAGTCTGTCGGTCGACCGGTCCGGTCGACCGAAAGCTCGTAGCATAACGGCTATATTTTCCAGATTTTGATATATCCATTTTTTTGTCTTTTTGCTTGGTTTTTTTGGGTTTTTAGGCTTGTTTCATGAGCCTATATATACTCCATGCCCTCATACTTCTAAGGGTACTCAAGAAATGTTTTAAGAGCTTAATTGAGTTCTCACCTTGTTTTGAGAACAATCATTTGTCATATTTGTGCTTATTGTGAGAATCACTTTGTAATACACTTGTACACCGAGTGAGGAGTGTGTGGTGAGAGTCGGGGATCGTCCCAAGAGGAGTGGCGTCGGTTGACGTGCCTAGGGAGAGGTTGTAACCGAGCACTTGAGGGAGACACGGCTAGGTCCAACACTTAGTGGGTGTAGAATGTGATTGCAAGAGTGTGAGTTGTAGAGTTTTCGGTTAGCTAGAAAACCGAGTGTGTAGAAGAAGTTCCGGCTTCGAAACCGGGTGTGTCGTGATAGTGGATTTTCTCCCCGGGAGTGGGGAGCGGAGACGTAGGACGGAAGGTCCGAACTCCGTGATCATATTGCTTGTTTGAGTGTGCTTTGGCGTTCATTCATATTTATGTTCATATCTTATATCGCCATTGTCATTAGCTCATTATCTATTTCATCCACTATCTTGTTTAGATTGTTTATTTTACCCTTGTGTTAGTTTACATATCCTTGCATATATTATATATCTCTTTAGTAGGATATATCATCTTGTGTTAGTTTATATATCCTTGCATATATACATATATTTCATCATATAGGATATATCTCATTGTATACATTGCTTATCCTAGCTCACATATCTTGTTGTATTTCATACTTGCTAGGATAACGTATTAATTAGTTTTTTATTGGCATTTAATCGGATTAGATTAGCATAAGACCCTAATCACCCCCCCTCTAGGGTCTAACAATGTCTAGTGGTGTGACGCCCCTGTTTTCACACATGGCTGCAGCCCAAGGTGAACCCAGAGATGTCAAACCTGCCATGCACCCATACTGTACAAGAATAAGTTTCACCAATCACAGTAATATCCTCTAGTGAGATCGAATAAAAGCGTAGGTACAAAATAGGCAAAGAAGTAGAACGACAATAATAGACATGATAAAGAAGATAATATCTCATAAATAAAGGTCATGTCTCAACTAAAAATAAACTAAAATACATCTGGAGTCTGAAATAACATACGATGTCTCAACATGAATCAAAACAGAAAGTCGAACTAAGGCACATTGCCTTTACAAAATGGAAATAAACTCTAAGTCTGAATAAAATTTAAAACTACAGTGGAGCCTCTAATAAATATCTCGGGACGGCGACTATGCAAGAACTCCGTCATCCTGTGGCTCTCCGAAACTCCGAGCTACCTGAAAAGGTATTTTTAAAAGAAAAAGAAACAACAACAAGAGCATCAGAGCGCTCACCTTCTAGATATCGTTGATGAGCTCAGTTCAGTACTACGAGGGTAGTGCGTCGATATTTCATTTGTGCAGGCCATTGAGTCGGATTTGGATGCTTTATTTAGCAGTCCGTCCGCACGAGGGTGCGATGAGGCTTGTGAGTCGTACTTCTAGGATACCTATATGGTAGGCCGTTCCGCACTCATGTTACGCACTAAGATCGTGATGAGACTAATGAGTCGTGTACACTGATTAGGATACCTACAAGGTAGTCTGTTATATATGATAATACTAAGTATCAAAATCTTGCACGGAGTTGCATTGAGATAGCCAAGCGATAGCCTGAGTCATTAGCGGATGCCAGTTATGTTTTTGACTCACTGCTAAAATATATGACCCAGAGTACTTTGCATATGAAAGTACACGAGATTTGTGCCGGTATTCATTCTATCTCCCCAGTGGAAGTGGCATATATTATGAATACGATATGTTGATGTCTTTATTTTATTTTTCTGCTTTTCTTTATTTCTTAGGTTGGGATCAATGATTATCGGTTCATAATTTGAGACAAATGGTATATACATGAGGGTTTCCTTGTTTGGATTATTTCGCTCGACGTACCAGTCTCGTGTTATGGATTTCTAATTATTGATTTTATTTAGATTGTTTATCCTTAATTCGGTATAAATGTTTAGATGTTTACGATTCGGTACATATGGTATATACATGAGGGTTTCCTTGTTTGGATTATTTCGCTCGACGTACTACGTCTTGTTTTGTAGGTGTCTGAATATTAATTCCGCTAGATATGGGGAAAATGATATAGGTAGACTATGCTTAATAGATAGAGCCTCAACTCCATCTAGCAGCCCTTCCCCTGGGGGCGGATAGAGGTAATCTTGATGTAGCACTTTGACGCTCTTGTTGTTGTTTCTTTTTCTTTTAAAAATACCCTTTCAGGTAGCTCGG